TAGACCTCAACCAAAAGTGAGGTCAACAACTACACTATAAAAAGTCATTTAAATGTTAAAAGCTAGTAATGTTTCTAGGTAGAAGCCTTGAAACTTCTATAAGGATAATTTGAATATTATGAAGAGAAGTTGGCATTTTGAAGCATTAATAGTAGCAGAAAGAGAAATTGTTGACTCAAACAAGTGACATTATCAACCGATTTGTTTTCCTCAATATTCTGAGAGTTGGCATTTTGAACATTAATTGATATTGAGCTTTTCTATAATTTGGGCTAAAAATATATCGGTAGATTATATAAAAAGTTTTTTGAGCTGAAAAAGGAGAGATTTTGCTTGTTCTAAAGAGATGATACGATGGAGTTATGTCTTTGGCGTAATTGAATAAGTTGAATAACTTTTTTAACTATTACATAATTTATTTGATTATCTTTGTTAATTGATTTTCCATTTGACTAAATGTTCTGAAATTCTGAAATATTGTGGCTCATCTTGCAAAATTCTTCCCTAACATCAAAATGATCTCCAGCTTTGCTTTTAATCCTATGCATCATACTCACAAAATCTTAAATTAAGTTTGATTAAATATTTTATAATTGATATCAAAATATCCTAATAAGCATGAACTATATACAAGAAGTTCCCATTAAATAAATGAATCGAGCTTTGCTTCTAGATTTCATTGTAAAGAAAAATAAAAAATTCCACATAAAGAATGAGATTTTTTAGAATGAAACTTCATCGAAGAAGTCTCCTTTGCGACTTGGATCCTAAGAATAGCTCTTGATATTTGAGTGGGCCAAGCCCCATATAGTGAGCATGTAAACCTAATGTATACTAGTAAAATCGTCGGTGACAGATCTTCTTAATCATCTTAGGAGTGAGTTGGTTTAAGAGACTTTCAAAGTTCTTAAAGAGTTTATTAGAGTGCTTGGGGACTTCATTAAATTAACTCATAAAAAACAACTGATTAACTCGGCCGAAATGATAATGTGTACAATAATACAACCAACAACAACAAAAACAACAACAACAAAGCCTTAATCCCACTACGTGGGGTCAGCTACATGATTCCTTTTTCTCCATTGCGTCCTATTTTGTGTCATATTTTCATTTAATTCTAGTAAATTAATCTCAGTTTTAATACAATAAGCCCAAGTCTTCCTAGTTCTACCTCTGCCTTTCTTAACACAAGTCAAATCTAAAACATCTACTTTCCTAATCAGATCATCAGATGGTCAACGTTTAATGTGACCAAACCATCTAAGACGACTTTCTCTAATTTTGTCCGTCATAGGAGCTACACCAACCCTATCACGAATATATTCATTTCACATTTTGTCTCTAAGTGTAAAGCCACTCATCCACCTAATCATTCTCATCTCGGCAACACTTAACTTATTATTATGCTTCTCTTTTAAAGGCCAACATTCAGCGCCATAGAGCATTGCAGGTCTCACCATCGTCTTATAAAATTTTTCTTTCAGTCTAAGCGGTACTTTTCTATCACACAAAATGCCCAAAGAATTCCTCCACTTCAACCAACCAACTTGAATTCTAATACTAACATCTCCATCTATATCACCATCACTTTGAACAACGGACCCAAGGTATCTAAATCGTTCACACCTTTTAATTATTTGATCAGCCAAAGTCACACTTCTGTCACTAGAGCTATTACTACTAAAATTACATTCCATGTATTCAGTTTTAGTTCTACTTAAACGAAGGCCTTTAGACTCCAAAGTAGACCTCCATAATTCAAGTTTTTCCTAGGCTTTTTCTCTCGTTTTATCCA